GGAAGGAAGGAAGGAAGGAAGGAAGGAAGGAAGGAAGGAAGGAAGGAAGGAAGACAGCCAGAAGAACTAATGTGATGGAAGTTTCACACTGAGTTGGTGGATTTAAAATAAATCTGTTAGACTTTGGATTTGGTAATCAACCTCACTGCTGCAGCTCCTCTGTTTTCTTTGCAGGAATGAATGCTCTACAGCTGCAAAATTTGGCAACTTTAGCAGCTGCAGCTGCTGCAGCCCAGTCCTCAGCCAACACCACCAATGCGAATCCGCTCTCCACAGCATCAGGAGCCCTTGGTGCACTCACAAGCCCAGGTACGATTGAGCAGAGCACTCTTCTTTTCACCTGGGTCCCAGGAAGGAGGGCAAATGAACATTAAACCTCATAGCCATACGTCCCATGTGATTCGGGTACAGATGATGGGTCCGTTGGAGATCTTATTCCAACTTCTTCTCTTTGTGTGTCGTAAAGCAGATTTTCTTCCATCAACAATGGAAATTCGGTCAGGGCGATGCGTGAACATTTCAACAGTCTGCATTGCAGGGGCGTCTGCGGGGTATAGTCAAGAAAGTCAAGATGGCAACCATGGTGGTGCGATTGAAGCTCCTCCTGGTTTTCATGTGTGTCATTTGCTTATTCCACCACAGCTGCCATCTTGACACTATCTTGCAGACCCCCCTGCTGTACTGAATTGTGATTTCAGCTGTATTAACTGTATCACTTTCTATTTTGGTAAAGAGCTAAGATTTGGCACTAATGAGGAAGTGTTCGAAATGTGTCTACCCTATCTAATGCCAATGTTTCTTTCTGAAAATACATTTTATCTCCTTCACGTTGCTAACACTCCCAAATAAGAGAACAGAATTTTCACTAGAGGATAATCATTCATTTATGGATTGTTGCAGGCAATTTAGCCTTGAGAATTTGGGGGACTATCTTTCATATGAACATTTTATATATGTTTATCTCTTATAACAGTATTTGCTTTTGACTTTAAAAAAAATCATGGTACTTAATTTGTTTTATGTTTATACTACACCTAATAAGAAGTTAACCTGATTTTTGCTTGTTACAATATTTATCAAGTTTTATCAACTCTGTTTTTATTTCATTTCAAAACCCCCAGAATTTTAAGAATCCTAGAAACCATGGAACCTTCTTTTATATTGATGGTTTTAACAAATTCTGTTTCTTTTCATTTTGGACACTCTTGATTTCCTCTTGAGACTTCTGAGAAGCTTTTCAGAGGAAAAGCCAAATGTCCCTCTCTGTCCCTTGAGAGGAATTTAGATCAGGTTCTCACATCAGGATAAATCTAAAGATCTGTACTGTGGCCCCATGCAATGTCTGATGTATCTAATTACGAAAGTGCTATTTCATACAAATGATCATACTCTAACATTGGCTTCTTAGAAGCTCCAGAGAGATCAAATCATGACTTTAAAGTGCTGGAATAGCCTTTCCCCTTAGCTTTTAATCTTGAAGCAAGGTATATTTTAGCAGACTTATAAATGATTCCCTTCTTATCATAGCATACATCTATGGTGCACAGTTACAATTCCATCATGAACTTTCATGATTCATGGCAGCCGTGCAAAAAACTTGTATGTTCTCTCCTTGTTATGAGAAAGTGCAAATCTACCATTGCTACATTTTTTGTTACACTGAGAAGACAAAGAATTCTGTCTTAAGTGTCAAGCAAAGAAGAAATTCATTCTAGCTGTTTTCTTCCAAGTCAGCCGACAGCCTTTCCTCCTTATCTCTTTGCTCCAGAGCTGGACAAATGCTCAGTGACCAGCAATGCTTAGAATTTGCAGATTTCAAATGTATCTGACATTCCTCACCTTGCCATCCAAGCACCTTGGTTGGCTTTTCCCAAATTTTAATGCGGTCTAGGTTTTGGATTCTACTTCTGGCACTCACATTTATAAAAGAATGCCATTTTTAGACCTGATTTAGGATTGACACAGCTGAGGGGCGGTTGGCAGAGAATGGAATGCAAGATAATGCTATATAGGAAATAAATACCAATTGAAGTTGGTAAGAGCAAATTTACCATCCGTGTGGGGTAGGGCTTGCTGTTTGCTTCCCCCCAGTGACATCATCTGGCCCACAACAGTAGGAATACAGCAGGCTCTGGCGATGGATTGGATCCTTTTCCATACTCCCATTACAACCAAAAGTTAAGGCAGATTTTGCATGCTTAGGGCGTGTGTTGGTGGGGAAGGGGTTGCCAAGATCTACTTATCCACCTAATAAGCTGGATGATTTTGAACTATTTGCTGTCTTTTCAGTCTGTTTCACAGGTTTATGATGAGAAAAGAATTGTGGAGAAATTATGTCCAATACTTTGTAGAGGAAGGGTGGGCTACAATAGTACTAATGGGAGTTAGTATTATTACTATTGCAAATGGAATATATTGAAACAGTTTCAGCTATGTAGTTATGACCCCACTACTCTTTGTTCCCGGTTTCAAACATTGCTTATAAAAAGAGGAGACCATTTCAAAATGACCTTAAAATGCACACTCTTTTAAAATGACCTTGGGTTTTCATACTATCTCCTAGCCACAGATTCTACCAAATCCAAGAGTGTCTTTTCAGCATGATTCACATGTAATCATGAATTCTGCTACAAAGAAAATCCCAAATTTGTTTGCTGGTACAAAATTCGGAAGATGCTGTTCTGGTTAATTTAGCATTCTTCCTTAGCGGGGAAAATTGTGTACAGGAGAAAAATCAGCTCTCTTGACTTTAATGAAGCTGCCTTAATGAACATGTTCTAAGCATTATTAAACTTGGAAATGTGTTTAATAGCTAGAGAATGGCCTTAGAGCATCATTGTACATTTATATAGAAGCTTGGGGTTATTAACTTTCATAAATCAACTTTAAAATTAGAGAGAAAAGTTGCTCCACCACTGGGAAGGCACTGCTATAGGAGCATTGTCAACAACTGCATTTATGACCATCTAAGAGTGTCAAGATAAGTTTGCAGGGTGAGGATCACTGACCCATTAAGCAAACCATTCTTTTTTTAACACAGCTCAGCCATAGGTTTTAGGCAGCCCTAAAGAGGAACCTATTTGTGCTCTTTGATTGTGATTCTAAAATATTCTTCCATTTAAGCCTGGGGTCATTCCTTAAAGCTGTGTGGCATTCGTAGAAGTTTGGGGGCGGGGGGTAGAGGATGGGATGGGATGAAAGGACCCTTAACAGACTCTCCAAGAAACATCTCCTGTTCCTCCAGTTACAGAATTCTCTTTCTTTTCCTCAGACCTTTTCTTTGTTGTGATGAATGTTCAGAACTAAGGGGACAGCTAGACACCCACCCAGCTGTCATCTTAAATCCATCTGAGCATGCTCAATAGGACCAGCTATTGGGTGGCTTTGCTTAATTACTATGGTGCATTCATGACATGGCTATTTATGTGCAATAATGTACCACTGAGGTTTAATCATTTCTGTTATGCCACCAGAAACAAGGTCTTTGCCATCTTTTGATACCTTGGAGAAAGTGAGCATATGATGTCTGGGAATCTGCTGCTTTTAAAAGCAGAGGCCACAGAAGAATACAGAACATTCAGCATTAATCCTCATGTCCATGGCAAGCCACATAAAAAAGCCTGCATTTATCTTATCCTTATCATGTGAAAATAGCAATATGTAGCCCACGATCTTTTCTGAAAGCCAAGATCTATCTCGTCTGGAGGCTTTCTGAGAAAGGGATACTCAAACTCTTGGCTGAGTCCATTGTTTTATTTTAATTTTCTGTCCTATTCTGGGTAATCGTCCATAAAGATGTAAAAGAAAAAGCAGCAGGAGCAATTAATTGCTAATCAGAGACAAGATGAGCATAGAAAAATAGATCAGGCCGCCACTCTACAAGGAACTCTGGTAGTCTATAAAACCAAATCTAACTTTGGCCAGCTTCTAAATAATAGTGGATAAAGGACATGCAGTTGCAATCAAAAACCATATTGGTGCAAGATTTTATCCTGCAGGGGACAAGGCAATGGAGTCTAGATAATATTGCAGAGGATCTGCATTTGGGTATGGATCCTTCATTTGTCTCTTGAATTTTGGAAACCCAAGAGGCTGATATGCCAGTATGATCTAAACCCTTGTCCCCAAGCATCACCCCCCCCTGAATTTTGCTATCAAGTGAAAACATCAGTTCCAGCAGAAGAGCACCAAAGACTCCACAGAAAACATCCGTTTAATAGCCTCGTTCCTCCTTACAAATTCTACATCTAAACTAAAAACAACCCTTGTTAAGATGTTCTTTTGATTTCAACTTTCTTATCTAGTGCTACATTTTCCACTCCATTAAATACTTTGTAAACCTGAATAAAAGCTTTCCCTGGTTGTTCTCGGTTCCATGGAAATTTAGCTCTATAAAGCCACATGTACCATCTCAAAGCATTTCCATTAAAGTCCAGGCTATAGTGCAGCATTTATATTTGCTTTTTAGGATGGAGGGGAATAAGTGCCCCTTTTTTATTTATTTATCTGTATATTTTTGCAGTTGCAAGAGGATGGGGGGTGTCTTCCTTTGTTGATGCCGTAATACTTTAAATCAACTTCCCATTGTCTTTTATCTAAAGACAATTTATTTCTCATCTTATTACAAAAGTAGCAGTGCACTTGAGGGAAAAACACTTCCTGACTGTCTAATTTAATGACGTTAAATGAACTGTGATTAATGAAGCTGTACAAGTAAAATGCAGGTTTATAGCATTTGTATTATGGTCGATCCTGGCAAGACTACGTAAGGAATACAGAGTTGATGGTACATGTAAGAAGCAGCAGTTGTTCAATAACCAATCAAATCTTTCCATGGTGCCACGTTAGAGCAAATGTGGAAGTTGACACCATTTAGCTCTTGAGTAATTCTGAAACTTTGAGAAGTTATAGTTATGCAGAAACATTACACCAGGGTGAAAACAGGCATCTTCTTTCACAATTTCTCCCTCCGCATTCTCAGGTAGGTTCATAGGTAGAGCAACCAGAGGAAAACACATAACATTTCTGGTTTTCCTTCCTTTGTTGGGCTGATAAGGCCACCAACAGCTATTCCTACTTCCTCTTACTGTGCCTTAGTTCTTAGGACTCTAGGCAACAGGTCGAAGGGGAACAATGGGTACACAGGTAACTTCATTAGCAGGACAGTGATAGACAAGTAAGAGCTGTTGGAACCACTTTCCGTTTTTTCATGATCTGCAACCGGTGCAAAAAGTGAGTCCTTTTTTTACATCCTTTTTTTGGTCTCCCCAAGACCCCTTCCCAAGTGGGTTGGGCCAAAAAATTGGGCA